CCCTAGGCGTAATTTTTGTGATACAGGCTTTTAGAATGCTTTTATTTGAGTTTTTTGGCTGTGTTATAGCAAATGTATTACTGTGTTAGTGTGCCGTGTTTACCACGTCTGGGCATGAGTCATCACAATGGAATGCAGGGCATCAACCAATAGGCATGCAGCTTTCCTCTATACTTCTTGCTGATTGGCTGTTGGGATTTAACTTGATTAACACCTGCACAGAGCATTTCCACCTGCACAGAGCATTTCTTGCTGATTGGCTGTTGGGATTTAACTTGATTAACACCTGCACAGAGCATTTCCATACTGACAGTATGTCTTTATTCAAGTGTTTTGGTAGGTATTTCAAGCTTTTCTGCTCCAGCATTGGAATGCGGGGCATGAACGTTTTTTTTTTTTTGAAAACCAACAGTTTGCATTATGCAATAAAAAATCCTAACCAATAAAGTAGGGAATAGCTATCCAACTGTTGTTTTAGTTGTATGTTACTTCATATTATAGTTATATCAATGTAAATCATTGTTTTCCCTTGTGTTTCTCATTCTTTCCCTGCCATGTCGTAAAATGTGGTGAACCCATCGCTGTATTTGCTCCAAAGCAAATATTGGCCTTTCTAGTTGACGTATAAAACATTAACGTCAAACGCCAATGATTGATTATCAATGGCTTTACACGTGGATTCTCCCCCATAATTTTTTAATATATTATTGTGGGTACCTTCAAAATTTTACATCAAAGTAATGGGCAATTAACATTTCTATTGAAATATTTGGAACTGAAGCTGGTTGTGCGTTACCTCTTGCTCCTGGAGGACCGGTCATACCACGTAAGCCAGGCGGGCCTGTAGCTCCCTTTTGACCCTGTGATCCGGTAGGACCACGTTCTCCCTTTGGCCCCTGAAAAATTAATACACAATGAACATCTTTTTTCAATGAAATCATAGCTCGAATTATCTTAGAACAAACTAGAATTGATGTTCATTCTACGGTTTGGAAGTTAAGTAATTATGACGTAGCTTCCAGTATTTTAGTAATTTAATGATGCTCGCCATGTCACGAGTGCAGAAATGATATCAATGATCACCAATACCAGGCTTTCTACGTCTGCTTTAGCTGAAAAGCTATGGTGAAAGGGGGGTGTTAGTTGGTTGTTGGTCTTGGTTGGCCTTTTAAATATGTCATGATTTTCACGCCCGTATTCTCTATCTCAACTAAGATTAGACTGAGTACGTGGGTTTTATCCCCTTTGTGTATTTTCTAGCCATCTACGCCATATTTCCAAGAGAAATACATTGTTCTTCCTCTAGCAATGATGATTTATCTATTCATGAAGATTAATCACATTTATGGAAGGATTGACATAACAGGGGACTATCGCCTCTTCAAAGATGTCAAACTTAAGACCGGACTGTAATTATTTTTTTTTATTCAAACTTTGTCACAAGGACAGGACAGGGGGAACAGGCAGATGCCTTTACTGGCCCCCTGTCCAGATAAAAAAAAACATACATAAATCTAAAATATAAGTAACTAGAGTCCCACGATCTCATACCTTCGCCAAATGATGTTAATCTTTATGACTGACAAAGATGATTCCTTCTGATTATGCAAATAAAATCCTCATTTGTATTATATTTACATTATAATATTGTATTATAATATTGTATTGTATAGTTGATCATATTCTCCATCAAAAGACAGCCTTATCTTAACAAAGAAAGCCATTCTATGATTTCCTCATAAATTATGCAAATGAGGTCCTTATTTGAATAAGTTATTTTAATGATGTTCACCTTCACTTAACTTTCAAATACCCCAAGTATGAAATTCCAGGCAGTTAGCATTATGGAATTATAACATTTTCTCATTAATTATGCAAATTAGGCGTTAATTTACATAATCAATATCTGCCTGTGTTTCTCTCGTTCTCAATTACATATGTCACAAGCTTGAATAGTCCTATAATGTAATGCAGCTGATTTATAGAATTTCCCCATTAATTATGCAAATTAGATCCAGATTTCCATAATTGTCGCATAATTATGTCAAGCGTCACTTGAGCTACCTACATACCAAAAATCACGACAATCCATCCACCAGTTCTTGAGTTATCCTCTTCTGAATATTTTCAAACAGATAGCCCTGCAGTTCCTGAGCAAGCCGCTAGGGGGCCCAAACTCACGTCACTTCTTCCCCAGCACAAGAGCTACCTACCACCCAAATTTCATCACCATAACATGTCTAGATCATGAGATATCAAAACCGGAAGTTACTCTGCAATACCATAACAAGCCGCTAGGGGGTCCAAAATCTAATCATTTTGAGGTCTCATCAAGACCTACCCACCTACCAAGTATCAAGACAATCCATCAAGGCCTTCTCAAGTTATCGTGTTGACAGACAGACAGACAGACAGACAGACAGACACACACACACACACACACATACACGAACGCCTCTGAAAACATAACCTTCTTGGCGAAGGTAATAATAGATACAAATTATTACTACCAAAATTCTAAGAAGTAGTGACGATGAGGGCTGTAGAAAAAAGCGTGTACGAATATGTACCTGTGGCCCCACGGATCCCGGAGGGCCCGTTGCACCCGGTGGTCCGGTGGAACCTTTGGCCCCTGGTGGTCCCTGAGGGCCCGGGGGACCTCGGCCGCCGGCAGGTCCAGGGGGACCAGGTGGTCCAGCCGCTGTCGTCGGCAAAAGAGAATTTTTTTGGAACTCAGTAAATTAAATACATCTATGAATAGGCCCATATGGCTTCTAAGTGAATGAATTCAAATGTGTAAGCACTGTGCAAAATTATTTCTGCTGCGCATATTGGATAAGGAGCAGGACTACTTGTGAGTGGTGTATAGGTGTTATTGCACACATCAGGGCGCATCGACTCTATTTGGGCCGTGAAGGTGGAAGGATCCGTCTTCCCGCCTGTTTTGTTTCACTCCTGACGTCATCAATTTTCAGACTTGCAGAAGCAAGATGACGTCAGGAGTGAATCAGCGCAGTAGATCATTCATCTGACGAAGATTCGGCTGAAAAGTCATAGTGAGTTTCCTTTTAGACGTGTAAAGTTGAAACAAAGTTCTAAACTCTACAACTTGGCAGTAGAACTGCTCTGTCTTGACTAAAAAATGTTAATATGTCCGTTGAGCTACAAGTTTATTTGCCAATATACTTTAAGTTCGTATTTCTTAAAAACACGTCTCAGGGAGTTACAGATAGATCATAAAAGCAGGCCACAGCAAGTAATTTCTATGGATGACATCAGCGCGTGCATTAATTTTCGCCTGATTTTGGAAAAAAGAAAAGAAATTTTGTTGTCTTCTGACATTGGTCAACATGGCGAAAATGGGCAAAGATGTTTGTTGCCATGCCGAGAGGTGGATGGCAGATAACTATGAAGAGAGGAGACAAGACAAGGCTATGATTTAATGTTTTGTTTCTTTGTCTCTCGCAGTGATGTGTGATGTCGGCTGTGTATATGTGATGTTCCCATTGAATCAAAACCATTTGTACAATGATTGAGTCAAAATTTAATAATGTAGGAATGTTGTTTTTTTTCGGCCCGCCTTGTTTGTTTTTTCGCCCCCTCGCGTTAGATTTGGAGTCTGCGGAGGATGTCATCCATAAAATTGACTTGCTGTGGCCTAATAGCAGCCAATCATTGCAAGATGTACCGTACTTGTCAAATAAGGCATGTAGTTACTTACTAGCTCGTCTCCGACGCCGACGCCTGCGCCAGCAATCTGTAAAATATCAGAAAGCTGTTTATTGCCTTCGCCAAGAAAGAATTGATTTTTATACTGTTTGTTGTTGGTTAGGCCATGTTGATTTGATTATATGGATGACATCCGCGCGCGCATGAATTTTCGGCCGTTTCCAAAAAAAAAAAAGTTTTGCAACCATACTGTAAATCGTACAAAACAGTTGCAAAATGAGCAAAAATTTACCGTAAGTTACAAAAAAAAAGTAAAAACTATACCAATGTCGTAGAATGCCAAAATCAAACGAAAAAATATGAAATTGTAAGGAAATGAACTTGAATATTAGATTATTCGCCAAACCATATTCTGTCCCATTTGTTCAACCCTCATGACCACGTAGATTTCACAATGAAAACAACTTTTTTGGGGGCAAAACTTTTTTTTATTCGCACGCACCTCCCGGAGGATGTCATCCATATAATCAAATCAATGTGGCCTTAGTGCAGCGGCGTTGGTGTCGACAAAGTGAAGGTGGACTTGAATCTCCAAGCAGATCTTTTAGTGGGGGAAGGCAGTATCAAATTGGCCATGTATCAATTTCCTCATACAGGCCAGCCAATCTGATACTGTCTTTCCCCCATTAAAAGATCTGCTTGGAGATTAGGTTGACTTGACCCTTTTACCTCCTGTCGTTCTGCCTGTCAATCTTTCCCACCCACATGCTGTACAAACATGCAGCACCTCTGACTGGACAACCATGTACACAACCCCACCGAAGAACTCACCCAGAACAATACTTCCACTCACCCACAGATGTCAGGATGACAAACAGTACGACAATCATTAATACTGCTCTTGCCACAGAAGCCATTGCGTCTCTTCCTTTTTCTAGGTCTGCCTTAAAGTTTGAAAACATTGTGTCAGGCTTTGTTGGGCAGACAGCTACATGTATATTTGGACGGTCCTTGTAATGTCACTGATATGAAATGATGAAATGCGGACATATACCTAATAATCAAAATAACAACTAACTTGATTTTTTAAAAGTCAATTTGCTGGTGATTCTTTTAATGTAGTAGGTTTAATCAATTCTATCCGATATGGCTTACTGATATCTTTGAGGCAGAAATACGTTTTCACTGACGGACAACAATGTTACTTGTACCGTATAGTAGGCTGGTTCTAGCTATATCCAAAGAATAAGGAGGTGCCTCGCTTAGCTTTTTTGGGCTCTTTCAAAAGCTTTAAGTATGACGTGATGACAAAAAATGTGCTAAGAAATGGCATTACATGCCAATATCAGACAGATTTTCTCATCCAAAATATTTTTTTTGTTTGCCGCCATGAAACTTTCAGTCCCCTCCGGCATTTCCGCCAACGTCATAATTGCGTTTGATAGGCAGAGGGTTAAACCAACTTATAATTCTTGCACAAAACCATATGAACTCAATTTACGTAGTTAGTTGACTAATGGGCTGTGCATGTGGTAGCCATTTAGTTTAGCTACAAGAAAAGGGAACATGTGGAATAAAACCAAGAAACCCCAGCGTCTCAGAGTCGATATCATTTATCTGTGGGATTCAGAATCCCCCAAGAGATTTTTTTCTAGCATTTCCCCCTACGTCATAATTGCTCTAATTTACGCTTACAGTTAACCTAAATACTGCCTGGACTGGTAAACAATAGAGAATCGGTAGCCAAACGGCTACTTTATAGTGCTAAAATCAAGTACCTGTGCAGGCCTCCGCGGGTGAGGGTTTTGATAATGCGGTAAATACGCTGTTTTGCCAGTTATTTCCGCCACGTTCTCTGGTAAACAACGCGTTTACTCCCACCCGCCCGGAGGCCTGCACAGGAGGCTACAGGTATAGGCGTTAGCAGAGTTCAGCATGACTGGGGGTCATTTCGTCGGGTGACCCGGGGCGACGCTAATCTCCTATACAGGCATTGCCATTTGAAATGGTTAGTGCCACATCGCTAAATGGAAAACTTATAAGTATATTAGAACGCTCTTTCAACACCTTTCATAGCATAGAGGATCAGGGTTATCGGATTGGGCGTTTTGAGTCGCTTTTCACTGATATCTACTATTTTTCACGATGCCGTTGTACATTAAAAAACTGAAATGTTGAAACTGAACTGCCCCTTAAAAATGTCAGAATACGTTAAAATATGGCATCGACCATTCAGCGAAATGGCAACGACTGTTCAGGACACGGAAACGCACGGCGGCGACAGAGATAAGATATTAATCATCTTCCCGATGTGATTTTCGGTGACATTTGTTTCCGGGTGGGAGAACCAGAGTCATATACGCGATATACATGTACAAAATCACCTCACTCGTGGCAAAAATACCGCCTTCTAAAACTTACTCTTAACCGCTCATTTTTTTATTCAGTCTGCACCTGCATAGCGCGAGTTAAAAGCGTGGATGAGATTTTTTTTTACCCATACGGCCGAAGACAAGATAATCAGTCGTCCCTCGAAGTGTGAAAGAATAAGCTGGGTCAAGGCCTGTGCAGCCACGGAATACTTTCAAAAACGCTGTAAAGGACGCGCCTAGCGCTTTTAAATCTACGACTCTGAATGTTAATACTATTTGAATGCCTTAAAAATGTAGATTCTAGAGTTATCTTACATGCATACGAAAAGACAAATGACATTTCTTTATAGACAAAATAAGACCCTGGAGAAATTTTGAAGACAGTTATTTCCGTAACTTTTCCTTAGCTTCAATGCTAGGTTTTGACTATTGAAACAGACAGAACAGGATTTAAACATCACTACACCTTGTTTTTTTTGTATTAGATACTTAATAGTTGGTAGGTTCACTAAAGAGATAATGGGCTATAAGCCAATTTTTTTTCCCTATAAAAAAAGAAGGGCCTAGTCCAATAGGTAGTAATACGTGATACACGATTTGTCAACCATCAAAAGTGCACTTTTTTTAAGTACACCAAATGCAACATAATTGCAACGATACAAGGAGACAAAAAGAGTGACTTACCTGAAACTGACGATCGGAAGGGAATAAATAAGTCGTCACGCGCTGGTACTTTACCATACAGGTGACGTAAGCAATTTCAGACGATACCATTTCTTTTCGAAACGTGGTTGTACGTAAAATCTGTTAGTTTGCCACCAGAGGCGATTACGACCAAACAAGTGTTTCTAAACCATCGTTTGGATATAAAAAAAATTATTTCATTTTACCTCATACAATAACTACAATAGAACCATAATCTTATTAGGCTAGGATTATGGTCCTGAAAACTGATTGGTACATTCCTTTTTGCCCCAGAAACCTTTGCGACGAATTTTTTTTTTTCATTTGACCCTTACTTTCAGGAAATGTCCTAGCTGTATGCCACAAGGAAATGCTTTAGGCATCACCTGGGGGCAATTAGTAGTGTTTCCTCAGTATCTCACAAGTAACTAATACCTTTTCAGCCTTTCTAATGTTGATGTAACTGTTATAATTGTAGGCAACTATGAAAATAGTCATTCTGTCCTATTGCTAATTCCATTTCATTTTTAAAGATGTTGTTCAGTTTGTCAGTTTTAACCTTCTTACCCTTGTTCAGACACACTCGTTGGTATTGCATGGATGATCTTCTGTTAATGATGTTGATTTACACGAGACAATTTGCATGACGTACGAAAAATATTGCAGGACAGACGCCTGGGACAGTCTTCGTCTTACACACACAGACTGCGACCCCCACTGAGCGCCTCACAGTCGTCAATCTTTTTGGCCCACCGCCACCTGAAATTGGCAGCGCACGTTTTCAACATAGAGGGAGAACATGCATTATTTTTTCATGTGACAAATGGTGAATTTTTTCTTTTCTTCGTGCTTACTTGTGGTGCCAATCATGACACGAAAGACCGCTAAACTGCAAGCTACCCAAATGCATCTTTATTTTTTTTAATCCGATCGACCAATTTAAACACCTATAATGTGTTTGTGGAATAAAAATGGGGTGTCTAAAATGAATTCTGGGTTATGCTTCATCATGTACGATAGTTGTGTTACACATCATCATAATGTAATCATATTAATGTATGTCTGTGTGTATATGTCTGCCTCTCTCTCTCTCTCTCTCTGTGTATGTGTGTGTGTGTGTGTATGTGTATATGTCTGTGTATGTATGTGTGTCTGTATGTATATATATGTCTCTCTCTTTCTCTCTCTTTGTGTGTGTGTGTGTGTGTAGGTGTGTGTGTGTGTGTGTGTGTGTGTGTGTGTGTGTGTGTGTGTGTGTGTGTTTGTCTAGGGGGATGGCCTTTGATAAAATTCCTTTGGTCCCGAGCCGGGGAGCTGGCCTGTGTACGACTGGAAACGCCAGCCAGGCTATCACAAAATTACTGTGGTGTCAGATACCTCGAGACTAGCCTCCTTTTCAAACTTGTGGGGCGGCGACGTTATGTTTTTTTTTCGCGGAGCGACGCGAGTTCTGAGGGACAGTTTTGCTGGGGTGAAGTTATCACCGCCTTTTGGGACATTGACTACTTCTCCCCCGGCAAACTTCATCGGCGGCAAAACCGTCCCTCCGCGGCAGAACTCGCGTCCGCCCCACAAGTCTGCGAAGGAGGCTACCCCGAGACAAAGTAAAAACCAGTCCCTCCAGTTCAGAGCCGGGTCATGTCACAGTTGGGTACGTAAATATAAGTCAGTTGCAATGACCTTTGAACTCACATGGATTGTTTCTCTATCTCTCACACCACACGCCAGGTCTACCACACCAACACTATTCAAGAACATCTTAAACGACATGATAACTCGTAAGATAGATACAAACAAACCCTTAAAGCACTGGTGGTAATGTACTGACACAAGCAAGGAGCTGTATATATTATCATTGTATCTGACCTCTGACCTCCCAATGTCAATGTCGTGTTGCTTTGTAGTTGTAACTGTTTATTGTTCTGTAGTTTTACGCTAGTTGTAGTCTAATGGATGCAAGTGTTATGTTATGTGCCTTAATTTGTATTATATTTGTGTGACTTGTTTTTATGAATCCAGGAAGAATAGATTATATTTGATATCTAATCTAATGGATATCTAATAAAACATCAAACATCACTTCTCCCTCTGTGTGTGTGTGTGTGTTTGCTTGTGTCCTTACATATTTAAATGCAGTAGAGGAAAAGGAAGGTACGTATTACCCTATAGCTGTTATAGAATAAATACTAACGTTGGTAACCCGATACATTTCTAGTTATGCAACGTTTACGCCAGCAAACGAGCGTCGTGAATTCACGGTAAGAGATCGCATACCCAGTGTCAATGGTGAAATCCTTTGAGAGGTAAACAAGACTTGCTAGTGGATCCTATAGCCCCGCCCACCTCGATCAGTCAAAACGTAGAACAACAAAATAGAAAAAAAATGCAAATATTTGATGAGTTCTGCTTACGTCTCGGGGACATTCACCTTTTGCAATAGGCATGCGCTATCTTACCTGGGGACCTACATATCCCAAGTCAATTGCAAAGTGTGTAAAAGTCTTACTCATTGGACGGGACATTTTGCCCTAATCTTCTGCTGGTTGGAAAGACAGAATCAAATTGGCCAGGCTGTATCCATTGGCCAGACAGTTACCATTATACATGTTGGCTTGCGAAATGGTAACTGTCTGGCCAATTTGATTCTGTCTTTGCAGCCATTAGAATATCTGCTTGAAGATTAATTTTGCCTATAACGCATAATGAAGGTTATCACATCGTCTTCAGGTCATGTCAGGACATTCGTTTGAACGTCCAAAGTCCAAACTCCGTTTACCATGTGTTGACCCTTCCCCTCTTAGATAAACTTTATCCCCTTCTGTCGGACAGAGAAACTGCATAGTGACCAGTGTGTGAGTGAAGTAATCACCATTATGGACGCCTACCCTGAGGTCTACACCACAGCCCCCGTCCAGCCCAAAGAAAAGAAGCCTGGGCAACTGACCAATGAACAGGTTAAGCAGTATTTCAGTGAGGTGAGGTCTAGACGATAAAGGACCTAACAAAACAGTAACTGAAGCAAGTGGACAATTTTGAACTGTCTGTTTTCAAAATCTGTCCAAATCTGTTTTCTTGTGTACCTCATTACCTGGATGTTTAACCTTTATACATGTAGATACGTTATTCATGGTTGCCGATCGTGCGGAACAGGTACAGAATAGTGCTGCGTGCTGCCTTAACATCAGGTACAGATGCCAGTAAACAGTGTCGCTACGTAGTGCTGGACCTGTGCCTGTAGCTGAAAAAAATCAATAAAAAATAACCTGCAGTCTTCGATGATAACAGAAACATAATGGAAACTTTAAGTTAACAGAACGTTTTCGTAGACGTACGAAAGCCCATGGTTTCAAAATGGTCTCGATCCAGACATTGTGTTCATGCCAACACTCATACGTGTCGGTATCTTTTTCCAGCGCTAACGTTTTATCACTGTGGTTAGGTATGTTTTTGTAACGACTTATTATGTTTAAAAAGGTAAATAAGTAAGCGTAAGTCAATTAAGATACAGTTACATGCATGGTACATAACTGTTCTGGAGGGGTTTTTTTTTTACGTACGCCTAAGGCCATCTTGATTTGATTATATGGATGACATCCTCTTGGAACCCCCAAAACAGACGTGCGAATAAATATTCTATTCATCAACATCGACCAGGAGTTGGTCGGGAGCTAGGTCGGCTGTGGTTCGGCCGCTCAAGCCGAATGTTTAAAACGTTCCTGCGTGGATTGGAGTTTCGGTCAGGTGTTACCTGACGGGACGCGGTCGTCTGATATACGGGACGAGGTCAGCAGTATGTTCGGTGGTCAAATTAGACTTAGCTGCTGGTGGTTGGCTGGTGTTCGGAGCAAGGTCGGGCAAAGGTCGTAGTCCCGAATACGTGACAGAGCCTTTAGGGGGAGTCAGTCTGGATTGACCTTGTACCTTGAACCCAATCACAGGACTAAACGATGGTTAGATGCAATCGCCGTAAAAGTTCCATTCTGAATGGATGAAAGGGATAATCTTTATTCACACAACAGTACAATAATATATGATATGCAATATAATAGTATGACTAGTAACTGATATTAAATAGCTTCAGATGCTAGTAAAATGTTACATTTTAACCCTAAAGAGTACACCTGGGGTCCGCACGGACCCCAGCACTATATATTCTGTAATATCTTTTTTTGTTTCTAAAGATTTTTTTCTGAAATTTTAGATAATTGTCACCCACAAAGTTGTCTCTCAATACAGTGCAGAAAACTCCGTTTCTACCATCTATGAAAAATTATATCTGATTTTCTTTTGGGGTCCGCGCGGACCCCAGCCGGCTTTCGATCATAATGGATACACTGGCGTTCTTATACATTACCTTATTTCCGTTTTTATATGTTTTTATGCACTCATCGTGTGTCTACGAAGTTTTCAGAGAATGGTGTAGTAATAGAATTAAATTTTAATAACTTTGGTGTAATTATGATGTCATATGACGTCAGAGCTAACAATATAGTCCACCATATTGGATTTTGACCAACGACGTCATCAAATTAGCATATTCTATGCATATTAAATGATTTAACTTATATTTAATTATGTAAGATGTTATTAATGTTGGAAAATAAGTGTAATTTAATATAAAACTCAGATTTTTTTTGTTTAAACCAAAATTACTTCTATTTTCAAAAAATCTGCTTGCTAGAAACCCGTTGCCATGGCAACACAAAAAACATCAACTTACTAGTATTAAACTAAAATGAACTTTTTTCCAGAGACATTTTAGGAAAGGTCTCCAAATTTGATACTTCTAGCGCATGCCGTTTAGCCGCTATCTGAGATCAAAGTTGGGCCTCAAAAGCCCCTTCAGTGTGAAATGGGTTTAAAAATCGTGTTTTTCTTCTTGTCTTCTTTTCTTCACAAAAAATAGAAAAAGTTCAAAATGTATGATTTTTGTTTGTAATGTGGACACAGAGGTCCCCACATCAGTTTGCAAAACAATTGAGCTGGTAACATGTTGATAATTTCTAAAAATTAGCAAAAAACTGTTCTGGGGTCCGCGCGGACCCCAGGTGTACAGATTAATCAGTCCGGGAAGGTGTTCTGTTGAGGGTTAAGCTGACCTATATATCTGTTCTGTTTTCTCGGAACATTTGCATCGTTTTGAAATTGAAAAAAGGTCGACACCACAACACACCAGGTACTCAGAGGCTGTGTCCCAGATGTAATGAAAAAAAAATGTAATGAAAACATTGAAGATGAGTTTCAGTTTGTTATGACTTGTACCACTTGTTTGTTAGAGAGAGAGAGAGAGAGAGAGAGAGAGAGAGAGAGAGAGAGAGAGAGAGAG